TCTATCTATCTATCTATCTATCTATCTACCGGCCTTGATCTCACTTTGTTGCCCAGGCTGGTGTTGAATTCACAATGACCCTCCTGCCTTAGCCTCGCAAGTGCTGGGATCACAGGCATTCGCCACTATGCCCAGTCTTCTTAACAACATTTTTTATGCATTTATTACTTACAGTCATTTTTCAAGGTCATTCTTGTACATAATTTGAAAAGTTAAAGTAGGTTTAAAAGTCTAATCTATAGGCACAGGGGCTGGGTTCGATCCCTGGGTGTGCTGTGCCGGCCCTGCCCCTGGGCGCACTGAGACTGGGCAGTGGTGGCACATGCCTGTAATCCCAGCACTAGGGAGGCTGTAAACAGGAGAATCACTACAAGTCCAACCTAGTAGTGAGACTCTGAACACCCTGTAGGCCCTTCTCTAAAATACAAAGAAAAAAAATCTAATCCAGTAAAACAACTCCCTTTGAGGTTATGATTTCTGCTTTACGTCCTCCTCTCGAGGACCACTTTCAGCTCCTTCAGTTATACTTTATATGTTTAAATAACACGATTATTTTCACAATTTCTTTAAAAATATTTTAAACTAATTGATATGTAACATTTATGAGGTATGATAATAGGCTAAACATGTACAACATGTACTAATTAAATTAGGGTAATTAGCATTTCAATTTCCTCAAACATTTGCCATTATCATTAATTGTTGTAGCTTATAATTACTGAAGTATGCTAAAGAGCACCAGAACAGATTCCTCTTACCTGACTTAATCTTGGTAGCCATTCTCTCTCTCTCTCTCTCTCTCTCTCTCTCTCTCTCTCTCTCTCTCTCTCTCTCTCTCTCTGGTACCAGGGATTGAACTCAGAATCTTGGGCTTGCCAGGCAAGTGCTTATTCTACTGAGCTATCTCCCCGGTCCCTTGATAGCCATTCTCTAACCTCTCTGGGTTCCCTTGTCCCACTCTTTCCATTTCTAGTGATCACTATTCACCCTTCTTCTATGTCACCATGTCTTTTTTTTTTTTAGTTTTGTAAATGAGTGCCAACATGTGGTAGTTTTTGTTTCTGTGTCTGGTTTATTTACTTAGTGTGATGTCCTGCGGTTCTATCCACATTGCCAGAAATGACAGAATTTCATTCTTTTTCTGGTTGAGTAATGGCCCATCGTGTGTGTGTACCATTTTAACTATGTATCAGTTAAAATGAATGAATAGTTGGCTGTGATGGGGCTCACCAGTTATCCTAGCACTTGGGAGGCTGAGGCAGGAGAATCGCTGTGAGTTCAAGGCCAGCCTGGGCTGCGTAGTAAGTTCAGGGACAGTCAGGGCTACATAGTCAGACCCTGTCTTTAAAAAAAAAAAGAAGAACAAATGATCCATATAAAAAATAAAAAAAGATCCATTTAGATGTGTCTTATACAAATGGCTAACAGATACATGGAAAAACGCTATCATTGAACATCCAGTGAATGTAAATCAAAATCACAAAGAGATGCCATCTTACCCCAGTTACAATAGCAATTATAAAAAACAATAAGAAAGACAAGTGTTGGTGAGGATACGGAGAGAGAGGGGGGCTCTCGATCACTGTTGGTGAGAAGGTAAATCAGGAAGAGGCTTCTCAGATTGAGAACTGTAGGACTATCTGATAAACCAGCAATCTCACTCCTGGGCTTATAGCCAAAGGAAATTAAGTCACTATACCAGAGACACTTTTGGGTCTGTTCATTGCAATACTATCAACAAGATGAAGGGCCCCTGATGGGTGAATGGGCAAAGAAAATTGTGCTACGTCTTGAGTTTTAGCGTCAACTCCTCACTGCTGAAGATTAGGACAGTGCTCTTGCAGTCTCTTGCCACACAGATGCTCTGTCGTCTCTCCTTGCACACACTTTATATTTATATGATAAGTTTAGTTAGATTTGTTAGGTACGAACCCATGCAACTGAGCAGACCAGGCATTCTGACATGAGAAGATTTATTGGAGGTAGGAGCAAGTGGGCAGGCTTTCTAGCGGACCAAAACAGTAGCGAACAAGGCAAAGCACAGGGCTTGTAAGGGATCTTGTGGGAGGGTGTTTGTGGGCTGGAATAGCTGAGGGAGAGCTAGTCTTGGCTCTCTGGGGGACTTTTGATGTTAACAAAGGAGAGTTTCTGTGGTTTTTCTGCCCAGGTCAAGGGGAAGTGAGCTGAAACCAGGGTACAGAATGGGGTGGGGTTGGGGTTGTGCTCTGGCCCCGACCTGGGGCTGAGAGCGAGAGTGCGGCAGGGTGTCCAGGTGACTTTGAGTCCGAGCCTGTCAAGATCCATATTCAGGGCCTGCATTATTATGACCATGCAAGTGGGCCACAGCTGAGCCAGATTATATAGTTTTACTTTCTTGTAAATCTTTTTGTTTTCTCGAGGAAACCCAGGTAGTTCATGGGAATTTTGGGTATTGTCTTGAGGTTGTGGCTTACAGGTAAGTCATCCCTTTGTAAGGTCTAAATTGCCATAAATCCTTGGAGACTTGTGGGAAGTGAGGATTGGATTGAGCCCAGAGAACTCTAGGCATGTCACCTCGTAGGATTTAGTTACACAATATTCCTGCTTTTTCTCCTTCCTTTCTCTCCTGCTCTTGCTGCCCGGCAGCGGATCACAGGCTCCCAGCTGGCCACCAGGCTCCAGTACTTTGGGCAGTCCCTGAGCGGGGGTCGGGATCTCACAATGGATGGACTGATGGACCTGGCTGTGGGGGCCCAGGGACACTTATTTCTGCTCAGGTGAGAACTTCTTTAGCAACACGCCAGCTCTTCTCCCTGAAGGAGTTTCTTTACTGCCCTAAGTCTTGGGTTGGCCCCACGCTGTCCCTGCAGATCCCAGCCATTGCTGAGAGTAGATGCAACCATGAACTTCACACCCAGGGAGGTGGCAAGGAATGTGTTTGAGTGTCAGGAGCAGGCAGCGATAAACAAGAATGCTGGAGAGGTCACAGTCTGCCTCCATGTCCGCAAGACCACACGGGACCAGCTAAGAGGTGAGACCTGGGAGGTAAGACTCAAAGGGATAAGTGACTGGGGACACTGACAGCTGGCTCGTCTTCCAGCCTTCTAGAAACCCAAAGGAAAATTCTAGCTGGCGCAACAGGCTCTTCCAACTTTGGCTGGAGGGAACAGGCTGCTCCCCTGCTGGGTAGGGACAGCCAGCAAACCTCAGCGGAGACATGAGCAGATGGCACTTTCTGACTTTTTCAGTTCCCCAAGAAACAAGGGGCCCCACACCTGTGAAGAAAGGAGGTTCATATATGTTTTAAGTGGAGCGAGAACTCATTTGGGGAGATTGAGTTAATGAAGCTAAAACACAAATTCATAAAGTATTCAGGGTTGCTTTGTATCAAGAGTGACCTCAATTTTTCTTTTTCTCTCTCTCTCAAACAGTAGAGTCATGCTTGGGGTGGGAGAATAATGATCACAGTATTAGAAATAGAAAGAGGAGAAAAAAAAACTCTAGTAGGAGAGACAGAGGATCATTGCAAATTCAAGACCAACCTGAGTTATATAGTGAGTTCAAGGTCAGCTTAAACTATCTACATTCCAAAAACAAAATAAAACAAAACAAAAAAGTTTTGGGAAGTAAGAAACAGCAGAAAAGACACCACCAAATGAACCTTGAAAATGGACTGTACTCTTTATTCTTGTCATTGGCTGGTTCATAAGTTATAAAGTCTCAGGTCAATTATGCAGGAAACCCAGTAGAAAATAACCCCTGCAAAACTAAACATCTGAGCAGAAGATTAAGTGGCTTTTCAGTGGTGAGGAGTCAGAAATTTAAGAGGTTCTTGGTAAAGACCTTTGTCTTTCTAGCAACCAAGAGAAACAACCGACAGTAGAAATGGACTCATGGGTCATGATTCTCAAGTTAGAGGGATCAGATAGGAATTTTTAAAGATGCACCTTGTATATTTAAGGGGGAAAAAAAGAGAAAGGATGGAGAACTTGAGTAAAGGCTCAGAAATCATAAAATAAAGTCAAAAGGAAATTCTAGCCATGAAAAATATGACTGAAATTGAGAATTCAATAAATTTGGTGGCAGATTAGAACAGAAAACTGGAAGATTAATTCATTGAAACTTCTCAGATTAACGCACAGAGAAAAAAAGAATAAAGAGTACAGACCGATCATAAAAGATATATGGCATTGTAGTGCATGTCTGTAATCCCAGCACTTGGGAGGCTGAGGCAGGAGGATCGCTGTGAGTTTGTGACCAGCCTGGGCTATGAAGTGAACTCAAAGCCTGCCTGAGCTGTA